CAATTTGAACTGAGCGATATTCTTGAACCAAACTCTATTTATATTGATTCATTTTCTCAAAAAATCTTTCTCGCGTGACCAGGTGACTCACTTCGTTTCGAACTGAGCCGTATTCATGAATAGAGCTCTGGTCAGAACAATTCGCTTTGTCATCAAAACTCCCTAGTGCGACAAAATGAGACATTTCATTTCGAAGTGAGTGATATTCTTGAATGGAACCCTCTTTAAGACCATTTATTTTCTCAAAATACTCTTCTGTCGTAACCAAGTGATACACTTTCTTTTCAAGGGCTTGATATTCTTGAATGGAACCCTAATTATAACGATTCATTTTGTTAAAAGATCTTTCTCGCGTGACGAAGTGACACGTTTCATTTCGAAGTGAGTGATATTCTTGAATGAAATCCTTCTTAGAACGGTTGATTTTCTCAAAAGATCTTCCTGGACTAACCAAGCGACACACATGGTATCGAAGTGAGTGATATTCTCGAATAAAACCCTAATGAGAACGATTCATTTACTCAAAAGATCTGTGTCACGGACAAAGTGATACACTTCGTTTCGAAGTGAGTGATATGCTGGAATGGAACTCTAATTAGAACAATTCATTTTATCAAAAGAACTTTGTGGCATGACCAAGTGACGCCCTTCTATTCGAAATGACTCATATTTCTGAATGATATTCTGTTTAGAATGATTCATCTGGTCAAAACATCTTTCTCTGCATGATCAAGTAATACATGTCACTTTGCAGTGAGCGATATTCTTGAATGAAGTTCTTATTAGAATGATTCATTTTGTCGTAACAATTTTCTACAGTGACAAAGTGGCACACTTCAATTCGAAGTGAGTGATATTCTTGGATGGAATGCTGTTGACAACGATTCATTTTCTCAAAAGATCATTCTGACATCACCGAGAGACACACTTCACTTCAAACATAGTAATATTTTTGGATGGAACCCTACTTAAAACGATTCATTTTCTCAAAAGACCTTTCTGGTATGAGCAAGTGTCAGATTTCGTTTCGAACTGAGTGATATTCCTGAATGAAACTCTTATGAGAACATTTTATTTTCTCAAAAGATCTGTCTTGCGTAAAGAACTGATACACTTTGTTTTCAAGTGGGCGGTATTCTTGAATGAAACCCTGATTAGAACCATTCATTTTGTCATAATATCTTTGTGACGTGACCGAGTGATTCACTTTGTTTCGAAGTCAGTGATATTCTTAAATAAAACCCTTTTTAGAGTGATTCTTTTTTTCATAAGATTTTTCTAGTGTGACCACGTGACACACGTCCTTTCGAAGTGAGCGATATTCTTGAATGGCATTCTGTTTAGAACGGTTCGTTTTGTTACAAGATTTTTCTGGCGTGACCAGCTGACAGACTTCGCTTTGAAGTTACGGACATTCCTGAACACAATTCTTCTTAGAACGATTCATTTTGTCAAAAGATCTTTCTCGTATCATCAAGTGATATACTTTGTTTCGAAGTGAATGATACTCTTGACCGAAATCTTACTTAAAAGGGTTCGTTTTGTCAAAATATCTTTGTGATGTGACCAAATGACAGAGTTTGTTTGAAATTAAGTGATATTCCTG